GGTTGTTCTACTTCCTTGGCACCATTCACGTCGCTCGTTGTTTCATGAGGTTGACAAAATTCTCCGAGGCGCTTCAACAGTGGCGATTTACAAAATCCAGAGCTCCCGGATTGCTCCTTACACTTATGTTGCTCCTTTCCTTTTTGATATTATATTGCAGCCATACGTGTTGTCATTCCTGCTGCATATAGGAAATTATTTATATATGATAAGAATGACATTTACCTTGTTGAGGGACAAAGTTCCAGTGATCAGCATCTCTTCCTTGCTCTTCTCTGCTTGGTGATTGGCGTGAATGTGGATGTGTTGAGGCTCCCATTTATAGCACACGATGGGATGGTATTGTAGTTGGAGTTAACTGAAATTTAGCATCCTAATATGATTGAGACTCCTGCAAAAGTGGGATTAGTTATGCCGCTACAATCTTGCATGAGACGGTTGTAGTGAGCTTAGCTTCTCTGGCTATACTTGAAATTGAAACAGTCTGGAGGATCATATAGATTTGGGGCTCATGGAAAATCCAAGCTTATAATTAGGCTCATAAAATTAAAATGCATTTTAATCTTTTGTGATTAAAATGGCTTGAGTTCATGGAATATCCCAGCACGCAATTGGGCTCATTTTGTGCCAATTTAATCTTTTGATTTGGGTTCACGAAATATCCAGGCAAACATTTAGGCTCATGGAATTTAGATGCACTACGATGAATTTAAAGGACCGTTTATTTTCGAGACTTCCTCGGTCCAAGCATATCAAGTGGCGTGTCCCGGCAAGTCTCGAGGGGGCAATTTGTAGACACAGAAAATTTGAACCCGACAAATGGACTGACGAAATTGTTATTGGGTCGATGTTGAGATTGTTATTGGGTCAATTTAATTAATTGGATCATAGAAATTAAATTGATTTAATTAGTCCAATTAAATTTGATTTTGGGCTATTGAATTAATTGATTAGTTGGCCCAAGCCCACTTCATATTTGAATTTAAATTATAATTATAATTTAAATATAATATTAATTTTATTATATTTGAATTAGATAATTATAATTTAATTTGAATTTGAATTAGATTATACAATAATGAACCTGGACTTGATCTTGGACAAGGTTCATTTTCCTAATTAATTAATTAATTAATTAATTAATTAACTAAAAAGGGGAGTTGGTTGAGGAATTTTGGTTAAGCTTTTAGTATAAATAGGGCCTTCGTTTTCATTCCAAAACACGCTTGAAAGCTTGAAGAACTTGAAAGCTTGAGGAACTTGAAGGCTTAGAGCTTGAAGGCTTAAGGAGTTGAGAGCATTTGAAGAGCCTGAAGGCATTGAAGAACGCTTGAAGATTTGAAGGCATTTTTGTTGATTTTGCAGGCAATTTGAATCCATTGCAGGTACTTTGGAGCTTTGCAGAATTGATTGTCTCGAAGATCTTGACGTCTTTTGAAGGCATTTGAGGATCTTAAAGCAGCTTGAATCCATTGCATGTGTTTTGAAACTTTGCAGGGTTGATTATTTCTAAATTCTTGACGCTCGTTGTTGGAAGTTACGCCACTTAAATCCCGGAAGCTACGCCACTTGAATCCCGGAGGCACGCGCCAATTGAATCCCGGAGGCTACGCTAATTGAATCCCGGAGGCACTTCCATAGATAACGTTAGTGAAGAATCAGAGGACTAGACAGAGATTTTGTACCTGCATTGAATTATACACACACTGTACAAGGAATTTTGTGAATATATACAAAGTTTACTTTTTGTGTTTACAGCAATAAAACGACATTTCAATGAATAAATGAAATTTACCTTATACAGTCGATGTTGGTTGCTGAGATGGCTCCAGTTGGGTTAAATTTTCTTCAAACACCATTGATGTTGTGTTCTACGAGTAAAATGTGTTGAAAATCAAATGGAAAATACACACACAGAGATATCAGCAAGCGAGTAAAGCACAAAACCTACTATAATTTTGCTTCTTCTACGATTATTGACGGGAAAAGCTTTGAAAAACAAAGAAATAGACGACGGACATGCAGAGAAGAGAGCGAGAGAGAACGAAGAACAGAACATAGAGAAGAAGAAAAGTATTTTTATTTTACTATTTTACCCCTCAGTGCGCGAAATTGAATCAAAACCAGCGCCCTTACATTTTTAAGATCAACGGTGCGAAGCCAACCCCACAACCGCACCTGGCAGTGCCAACCGCACTAGAACTAATATGTATATATATATATATATATATATATATATATATATATATATAACGACCAACAATTTTTTTTTTTAAATCAACTTTTTCTTTTTTAATTTTGTTGTCAACTTTTTATTATTTAATGTATTTTCGCGCACATTCTTCTACCCAGCGAACTGTAAGGGTAAACTTGTCATAAAACACCGGAATAAGGAAAATCACATTGTTGTGTGTTTTATTACACTATTGGTGCATGTTGTCAACACTGTTGGTGTATTCTGGAACTCGACCGCTATAAATGGCCACTGTAATTACCATAACACGGGAATACACCATTGGTGTGTTTCACTGTGGTGTGTTTTATTACACTATTGGTGTATGTTGTCAACACTGTTGGTGTATTCTGGAACCCGCCCGCTATAAATGGTCACTGTAATTACCATAACACCCCCACTTACTAAAACGCGCGAAAATCCTCAGAATTACCACAGCCTTTAGATTAAACTGATTCAACGACACAGATACGACCACACGACCACACCTAATGACATGACCACATATGAGCGTTTTTCTCTCTCTCTCTCTCTCTCTCTATATATATATATATATATATATATATATATATATATATATATATATATATATATATATATATATATATATATATATATATATATATATATATATATATATATATATATATATATATACTCTCTGTCCCATTTTATGTGTCTTGGTTCGGTTGACGAGGCTTGACTGGAGTTATTTTTAATATATTTTTTCATAATATTAAGTTTAGTATTTGTATACAAAATTTATATATTTCTTAGAAACTACACCTAAAGTACTATTAAACACAAAAAAATCAAATTTAAAAATAAGTAAAAAATACTAAAGAAAATAAATAAAGAAGAAAGAGTTAGTTAGTTTGACCCAATAAATATTAAATAGTAAGTAGGACAGATAAAATGTGATAGAGGGAATATATATATATATATATATATATATATATATATATATATATATATATATATATATATATATATATATATAAAAGAAACAGATCGAATGATTATATGCGGCTTGGAGAGAAATACAAACCCATCACAACCGTCCATCTAGATAAATCTAATAGATCAGAAACACATTTAAATTTTATTTTAAATTATCATACATTATTTTTCTATTAAGTATTGAATTTAAAAGGTAGTTATGAAAATTTGTAGTAACTTCATATACACATGTATATATATATATATATATATATATATATATATATACACACACTATATATATATATATATATATATATATATATATATATACACAGACACACTATATACACATATAGCATGAAATGTTATATATATAAATACTATATTTATGCTAAAATTGGTAATAGTTTAAGTGGTTTAGTTGGTTGAACTCCAAATTTAATTTTAAAAAGCCTATGTCATAGGTTTAAACCTAATAAGTAACACTTTTCCTTATCTTCCCTCATTTATTTTACTCTGCGTCTTTTTTCATTTCTTTACAAGATAAATTAAATATTTTTAGTCCACTTTTTATGAATAATTTAATTAACAAATTAAATGCTCTTTTAATATACTTTTTATGAATCATTAAATTAATGTAGTATACAAGTTTATATTATACTTTATTGTATTCGAATTAATTTAGAAAAATCAATCTAAATAAATTAAAAGAAATTAAAATTTAAAAATAATTATGAATATAGTGTTATTCAAATTATTTTATCTAATTGATTATGTTTCATATTTTCTCATAAATATTTACACATTTTCACTCCAGTCATGTATATTTTTGGCTCCAACCAAAACTATCATGTAATCTATCAAAAATATTTTATTTTAATTTATAATGTATTTTATATTTTAACCTTATTATGACTGTTTGATATTTTGTAATTGACTTTTCTATCGTCATTTAATCTTCGCCCTTACTTAAATGATTTTTGTGTCCGTCCTTGACAATAAATAACTCTTTTTTTTCACTATGTCCCAAATCATTAATACGAGTATACGACCCTCCAAAGCTGTTAGATTTTTCTCACACTTTATAAAAAGATATTTATCCATGATAGAAGTGTCAAATAATGTTCAAATACAACAGTTTATATATTTTTTTTTGAATGTAAATACAACAGTTTATATAAATAAATAATTAATTAATTAATTAAATCTTATTGTATTGGTTGTTGTTCATCACCTGTGTCCACTTGCGTGCCTGCATGTGCTCTCGATCTAGAAAAAGATGGTTTTAATTATAATATTAATAAATTTACAATAGCTTATCCCCACAATCCTGCCAATATGTAGTGTAGTCCATACAGAAAAATAATTTATTTGGAAACCAAATCAGAATATTGGGATTTTAGTCTAGCGCAGCATCCACGTTCACATGATTAAATTATTAGTCATGGTTTATATTTAATCTAAATTTAAATCTAGTGAAATATTAAGATCCTATGTCCTATATGAAGAATTAAGGTCTGTGATTTGTGTGTTTAAGGTGTGTTAGTGGTTAAAATTTAATGTGTATCGGGCTAAAGTTTTAGGTGCCTCGTTTTCATTCTTAAGTTGCTTTATTTTCCTTCTTAAAGTACGTCAGTCTAAAGCTTTAGGTGTGTTATTTTCTTTCTTAAGGTGGTACATTATTTTCTTTCTTAAGATGTTTTCCTTCTTTAAGTATTACATTTTCATCAGTATTCGATCCATGAATAAGGATCCGTGAGATGATCCTATATGAGAGTCTGATTGTAACATCAGCATCAATATCATCATATTGTTATTACCTTTCCCTACTCACTCTATATAAACACAACACATTAAGTTTGTGCACCAAATTAAAGTAGCTACCAATCAACCATACAAAGAGAGTTAGCACTAACATATATAGTTTTGAGGATGGTGTTGAAAGTGGAATTACTTTCCAAAGAGATGATGATCAAGCCATCATCACCAACTCCACCTCACCTCAAAACCTTCAAACTATCCTTTCTTGATCAAATCTCACCGCCCCTTTTCGTCCCTCTCATCTTCTTCTTCCATCATGGTGAAGATGATCATGGCCGTTCATCACAACTGCTAAAGCAATCTTTATCGAAGGTCTTAACCCTGTTTTATCCCTTAGCTGGACGGATCAAAGGAAACGATTTCATTGATTGTAGTGATGATGGCGCACTGTGGGTTGAAGCTCGCGTTCATGGCTTCCTCAAAGATGTGGTTGAGAATCCATTAATGGAGGAGTTAGAAAAGTTTCTTCCCGTAGAGTCTTATAGTGATGATGATAGTGAGTTAATGCTTGGTGTTCAAGTAAATCATTTTCTTGACGGCGGAATAGCCATCGGGGTTTGCGTGTCGCACAAGATCGCCGATGGGCTCTCTCTCGTCAACTTCGTCAATGCATGGGCCGTTACCGCCCGCGAAGGAGACGCCGCCGCCGGGAAAATCTCGCCGCCCAATTTCGGGTTGGTGACGTCTCTCTTCCCGCCAACCAACACAGACCTGTCCGAGTTTGGATTCTCGCATACCTTATGCATGACGAGGGAAAAGATCGTCACCAGGCGCGTCCTGTTCGATAAAGAAAAGCTGGCAGCTCTGAAGAAATCTGCGGCGGCAGAGTCGTCGGGAGTGGAAAACCCCACACGCGTGGAGGTCCTCTCCGCCTTCTTGTGGAAGCAATATATGTAAGATTTCCCCTAACAATATATATTATATATTATATATAAAGGCATTAATTAAGTGGTGACTGGTGAGTAGTTTGATTGTACAAATTGACATCTGTAATTTCAGCGAGGCAAGTAGAAAAAGATCCCAAGACGCTTCGATGAAGAAAACGTTCCGGGCCACCCACAACGTGAACCTCCGTGCGAGGATGAATCCACCGCTCCCCGAAGCGACGTTCGGGAACCTTTGGAGTCCGGTAGAAACGCCGCCGTCGGAAACATGCCCAGACGACGCTCACCTGGTGTTTCAATTGAGAACTTCCATGAGGGAAATCAACGCGGAATACGTAGAAGCTTTGCAAAACGGAAAAGGACATTCTGAACATCTCCGTAAATGGCGTTTAACCGGCGAAGTGGAAGCTGAGTTCTTGGATTTTAGTAGCTGGTGCAGGTTTCCAATATACGAGGTAAATTTCAGTTGGGGAAGGCCTGTTTGGGTATGCACAACAAGTTTTCCGTACAAGAATTTCATTGTATTGATGAGCACCAAATGTGGGGATGGGATTGAAGCTTGGATTAACATGCGTGAAGAAGATGATGATATATATATGGGAGCAGGGTTATGTACGTCATCCAATTAGATAGATAGGCTTATTTCTACTATCTATCAGAGTTAGGTTTATAATGAGTAGAAAAAATGACAGTCAAATTTTTAATTAAATGAATGACTCAGTTTGATCAGATTTTAATTTTTCTTTGAGATTTCTTAATTATATGATTATTCGTTAACTTTTTCGTTAAATATTATCTTTCTCCATTAATTTCTGTTACTTCGCCGGTAACTTACTCATGATTTCAATAAGAAAGATCTTAGGTCCAAACCTCATCCCAATCAAAGTTGACATAATTAGTACACTATTTTACTCTTATTAAATTAAATAAAAAAGCACCATCAAAATTTTTAATCAAATGAATGGCTTAAATTGATCAGATTTTTATTTTTCCTTGAGATTTCCTAATTTATCCTTAATTATATGATTATCCGTTAACTTTTCCGTTAAATATTATCTTCTCCGTTAATTTTTGTTAGTTTCGTTAACTTACTCATTGATTTCAATAAGAAAGGTCTTAGATTCGAACCTCATCCCAATCAAAGTTGGCATAATTAGTACTCTATTTTACTCTTATTAAATTAAATAATAATTTAGTAGCAACAACAAAAAATAATACATATGCATTTCTTTAATTTAGAATTATGTGTCTATAATGACTTTACTCAAAAAAAATTATTCATTATCAATAAGAGAAATAATTTCATTAGTTATATTGTCTTTTATTTCTCTCTAATATAAAAATTCTTTACATTCAAATTCATCAATTGATTATATTCATTACATTGTCCCTACAATGTCTTTATTCAAAAAAATATTTATTATCAATAAATTAATTCATTATCAAGACTATGTGGTCTAATGGTACCCGAGTTGGACTTCCATTTAGAAGGTATCTAAATAATTTCATTAGTTATATTATCTTTATTTTTCTCCGTAAAAAATATTCTTTACCTTCAAATTCATCAATTGATTATATTCACTACATTGTCTATTATCTTTTTTTGTGCACTTTTTTAATTAAATATCAAAGTTATAATACAAAATTGATAGATACCCCAGATAAGGGAGCCGAGCCGGTAACCGACCTGGGGGGAAAGAGGAAACTGCTAAGAACCTCTCGGTCATGATAACAGACGCCCCCGAAGTCCACTATGCAATTATCAAGCAGTCAGCTTGCCAGCCAGCGCGTCCCCAAGCGGGCCCTAGAAGACAATGCTGATGAGCGACCAGTCACGATGATCGAAGTGTCCCTGATCCCGAGCCTCATAAGACCGGGACGGGCGACCAGGTCACGCGGGCGGTGTGTCCCCAGCCGCGCAGCACTCCAGGACCCGGACGGGCGACTAGGCTGGCCAGGAGGGATGCTCCTACCCAGAGGCAGAAACCCAGGAAGGCGTCCTCGTGCGGCCGGGACAGCTCCTGACTGAAAACACGCCCCGAAACGCGTATCAGCAGATTTTCCGGAAGCAATCTTCGTTTAGATTAGGTAGTTTCCATATTTTGCTAAGATAGGAAAGGCAGGGAATCAACGGTGGCATCAACCCATACGTCAGCCCTACTTACCTTTGACCTTGGCTAGATGTCAGCCCTACTTACCATGTATAGATTCGATATTCGTGTATAAATATCCCCATGGGATCTTCATCGCGGGGGAAGAAAGCCTCTCTCTTTGAGAGTGACATATTTGGAAGGACAACACCCTAAAGAAATAACAACGGTTATTCTCTAAAATTATCTCTATTTTCTTACTTTCTATACACTCACAAATATAGTTATCCGGTAGTGTTGGCCTGCCGGGCAGCCGTCAACACTGTGAAAACCGACAAAAATAATGCTATATATTTATTTACCAAGTATTTTATTAATACAATGAAAAAATTTTAAAAATATAATTAAGTCAATTATATTAACTTCTTGAGGGATTTGTTGACAAAGAGAGTATTCAAATCACAACACAAATTGAAGTGGAAACTACTTCGTAATGTCTTTGTTTGACAATCAACCGTTAGCGATTAGCGTTAGCGGATTATATTAACAGATTTGACCAGCGAATTATATCAATGGTTGGTAAAAAGATATTTAAAAAAATTAACTATTTAGATTAACATGTAAAATGATTTAAAGGTCGGGTATACATATAATAATAATAATAATAATAATAATAATAATAATAATAATAATAATAATAATAATAATAATTATTATTATTATTATTATTATTATTATTATTATTATTATTATTATTATTATTATTAAATTATTATTATTATTATTATTATTATTATTATTATTATTATTATTATAATAATAATAATAATTATTATTATTATTATTATTATTATTATTATTATTATTGTTGTTGTTGTTGTTGTTGTTGTTGTTGTTGTTGTTGTTTTAAAAAAAAAATTAAAAAAATAATTTAATAAAATTAAAAAAATAAAAATAAATAAAACATATGTGGAGACGAACGTTCGGCTCCCCTTAATTTTGTCACTTTTCCCACATCGGTGAAAAAAGTGGCATGACTCCAATTTAAAAATTAAGCTTGCCCATCAACGGATGGGCAAGCAGTGAGCTCTATAGTAATTTTTTTTTCTTTTTTATAAATATAGAGGTGTTTTGGGGAAATCATTCTTAAAAACGCCAAGTGAAAATATTTCTAAATTGCAATGTTTGTTTTTCAGTGGTTTGGAACAAATTGTTGCTTCAAACTACTGCTGAATAACGAAACACTTTCTTTAGCATTTTAATGTTTGGGTTACATGATATTTACCAATCGTCCAATATCTTTGGGTTACATTATAACTAAAATTTTTAAATTTTAGTACATCTAAATTCTTTAAATTAGGAATTTCCTTATCCATAATAATTTATTCAACAATAATGGTTGAACTAAATGAACACTGAGCAAAACACCTAAAGGACTGGTACTGTTGATTCATTCATTTGATCTTGTATATATGTGCATTCATTAAATATATTAGAACCCTTTGCAACAAAAAATTGGTTACTATTTTAAAAAAGTTTAGTAACAACTATAATGAATCTCCTATATTTACTACAAGAAAAATCGCGAATCGCGACGGACTATATTCTGTCGCAATTTAGCGACCGAAATTGCGATCGAATACATTTTGTTGCAAAATGGCGATGGAAAAGGCGACGGAATTAAATTCCGTCGCAAATCTTGGCGCAAAGATAAATAAAGTCCGCGAAATATTAGCGGCAAAATATTCATGACCGAATTTGCGATCGAACAAATTTACGTCGTCCATTTCGCGACGAAAAAGGCGACCGATCTTTGATCCGTCGCGAATTGGCAACGGAATTGGCGATTGACTCAATTCCGTCGTTAAAATAATTAAGTTTTTGTGTATAGACAAAAATTGCAACGGAAAAGGTGACCGAAATTTATTCCGTCGCAATATTTTTGTTAAATTTTATTTCATTTTTTGCCTTAAACGATAACGTTTTGAATACGAAATTAAAATTAAAATAAGTAAAAATTATAACCCTACATACGCTGTGAAGTATGAACTTAGACTCCATCCTCCACAACACTTTCCTACACCGCTACATATGCTAAGTGTCTTCTCCCATCCTCCATAGTGCTCGTTGCAAGCAGTCCAACACCACCGTCACCGTTCACCGTGCAGCTATCACCGTCGTCGTGCAAGCAGAAATCGTCAGCTGGCCCTTCCAATAAAGAACTCTTTTTTCACTATATCCTGAGTCATTAATACTAGTATACGACCCTCCAAAGCTACTAAATTTTTCTCACACTTTATAAAAAGATATTTATCCTTGATAGAAGGGTCAAATAATGCTCAAATACAACATTTTATATAAATAAATAATTAATTAATTAATTAAATCTTATTGTATGGGTTGTTGTTCATCACCTGTCTCCACTAGCGTGCTTGCATGTGTTCTTTTGACTTTTGTATACGATTGTGAGATTTCAATTTTTTATTTATATATTTAATTCTCGATGCAGTACGTCGAGCACGAGGGTTTTAATTATAATTTTAATAAATTACAATATATAGCACATCCCCACAAGCCTGCCAATATCTAGTGGGAGCGTTATGCTGTGCAACTGTGTGCATCATGCAAGATATACACAGAATTTGATTCATAATTTCTATATTATAGATTCATAATTTCTATACTGTAGATTTATAATAATTTTTAAATTGTAGATTCATAATTGCTATACTATAAATTCATAATTGCTATACTATAGATTCATAATTTTTAAATTGTATAGTTATCAAATTATGAACATATATATAGTTCAATGATTTGTGAATACAGAGTTCAGAATTGGAATATGAACATAGAGTTTTTAAATTGTGAATATAGAGTTTAATAACTATGAATTTATAGTATAAAAATTATAAATCTATAGTGTAGAAATTATGGATCTGTAATATAAAAATTATGAATCCAATTCTGTGTGCACCATGCATGGCGTACACGATTGCACAACATAATTTGCTATGTGGTGTAGTCCATAAAGAAAAATAATTTATTTGGAAACCAAATCGGAATATTGGGATTTTAGTCCAGCGCAGATCCACGTTCACAAAATTAAATAATTAGTCATTGTTTATATTTAATCTAAATTTAAATCTAGTGAAATATAAAGAGACTATGTCCTATATGAAGAAATATGGTGCATGTGGTTTGTGTGTTTAAGGTGCGTTAGTTGTTAAAATTTAATGTGTATCGCTTAAAGTTTATGGTGCATCATTTTCATTTTTAAGGTGCGTTGTTTTCCTTCTTAAGGTACGTCGGTCTAAAGTTTTAGGTGCGTTGTTTTCTTTCTTAACACTACAAGAAATTTCACATTTAGGGGTGCCTCATCGCCTTCAGAAACATGGCCGCTTCCCTCGGGATCATGCATATGACAGTCTCCTTTCTTTGCTATCTATCTCTTTCTCTTTCCAGTGCTGCATATTATACTTTATAACGCGAAGTTCCTTAGCTTCTACTTCAGTCAGATTGTGGCTGCCGCCAGTAAACGCAAGCATGTCCTTTTCGTATCTACACTCAAAGAAAGTCGGTTAATTAA